TTTGAAACTTCTAATAAAGATACGTTGTACTAATACATGTACATAATTGTGATTTAAAGCATCGACATAATGTTGTTAGTGTTTATCGAGGAATCTCATATTCCACGATAGCATAACGACACAATTCAATATTTTACCGACACTTTTAACGACAGTTATAGTTTTCATCGAATTACAGAATATGACTTTTCGTTACAGATAATCTATTTTAACAATAGCGATGATGTTGACATGTCATTATAGAATTGCAACGTCACTTTTCTAGGCTGCAGATAATAAATCGATATTTGGTTTATATATACTTGTATGTAACACGATTGTATAAACCAAATATCAATTTATCATCTCCAGCTTTAAAAAGTGGACGTTGCTATGTTGTCAAGGTCATGACCCTGAGTAATCTCCAATAGGTTTTAGCCGTCCTTCGTTAAAAAGTTATCAACAAAAAAGATTTAAAATAGTAACAATTTATTCCTGTTTTATACAATATTAAAAACTATTTTATACCCTTCCTTACTGTAAGAATTTTCTACGCAAAGCAATTCTCATCCCCCTTCCTCTGCTTTGTAAAGTAGTGAATTTGTTTGAAAAATAGTAAATTTGTTTGTAAAGTTACTTGTATAGTGTTTAAGTAGAGTTTTATAGATATTAAGGTTTGTTTGCATTACAAAATTCCTTAAAATTTTTGTACTTGAAATAAATATATGGTCGTATTGACCGCAGCACAGACTCTTGCATAATAATGCATAGTGCACAAACGAAACAACTAATCAAAATCTTTCCATGGAAAAGAAGAATTTCGATTGGTTGATTTCTTTATGCATTATGGCCCATATTCAGAACGCACTTTTATCTCCAAAATTCTACAATATGCATAACATAAATTTATACAGCATGTTAGCGCACTAACATCGTTGTAAGCGCGTTTTGAACACGGGCATTCTGCATTGTGCAAGTGTTTGTGCTACGGCCATATCTCCCAACTTGGAGCTCGAGCCAGTGGGGTAGGCAATTGCTAGCAACCAAATACAATATATAAAATAGCACCTTTAATCGTGAAATATAAATTTAATTTTCGCGCTTCATAACTGGTGGCTTTCCGATCAATACGCCATCGTCGAACATTGGCCGTGCCTTGCGATTGGCCCGTCACCAATACCCTGACGGGATTGGTTGAATTATGACAGTGGTGTCGAAGAGAGGAGACATATAGTGATTCTTTTGTAGTAGACAGAGTTTGTTACGAGAGTTCAAAGAATAAAGATCTTGAGAGTGAATCTTGTGTGATTTCGTTTTTGCAACTTCTTTACAGACATACGCCCTTTTCTTTGAAGGAGTTTTTCCAGAGTATCCCTCCTTCGGATTAATCCTGATTCCCCTCCTTTTAAACGTTATAATTTCTAAAAGAATCCACGGGCTTGTTTCATACAGTGGACTGTATAGATTAGTGCTTATTGATTCGGGGCGGCTACGTTCATATGACACTTTTTTCTCTACACGACACTTTTTTTCTGCCAGATTCTTTCATTTCATGCAAAAACGTCGAATGAGTCTAATTTTATTGATTTTTGAGGTGGGGGACCCTAAATTGTATAATTACCAATCCAACTTTTCAACAGTATCGCCAGTGTATTCATGTATTCATGTTATACCAGAGAAACTTGAGAGAGGGCATGACAGCCCAAAATCTGTAACCGCAAAATGCTGTCGTGCATCGTCCATTTTTCAAGGTTGGAGATGATAAATCGATATTTGGCTACATATGTAATTACATATAGCATGATTATATGAACCAAATATCGATTTATCATCTTCAGCTTTGAAAAATGGATGTACCCTAAGAAAAGCGAACGTTGCTACACAGTTTACATCCACTTTGTCAGAGGGCAGTAGTGCGCGGCAGCATTTTACAGTTACAGATTTTGGGTCGTCATATCTTCTCTCAGGTTTCTTAATAGAAATATATTCAAGTAGACTGAGGTCCAGTAATTTAAGCGCACTTATTATAGCGCGTTTCATATTACTGTCAGTCTTAATTTTGTCGTGTCTGAACTAATTGTATTTTCTTTTATTTTGACAAATGACTTATATCTAATTATAACATTTGTTTACACGAATTTATGGACGAGATTCTTATAATTTATAATTTACTTGTTCTTGTAATCATATCCCTCATTATCTAATGGTAAGCTGCTTATTATTACAAAATTGCATAATCCATCAATAATTTGGTACTTTTTCATATTCATTACAGAAAAAAATTATATTAAATATACAAAGAAATTCATGCACCTCACTTGGGATCATCTAATTCTATAGTGGCTGCCTTTGATGCATAAAGGATGTTCTTTATTTCTGAAGAATTTTTGTAACGCTGATGATGACTCAGAAAAAAGAACCGAAACGTTCGTATAGAAATATATTCAATTAAATACTGCACTGAATAACAGTATTATTTAATTACGCTACAATAACTGTAGTATACTTTCATTTGCCTTCATTTATTATTTTATTATTTTATTATTTCGAGAGTCATAAGAAAACTACTACATTTCCATTACATAAATTAACAGTTGTAGACAACCAATCAATATATGTATAAATAATTATTTTGATATAAAAATCTAAAAAAAAAAGAGAGAAAGAGAAACCGTCAGTAATTATATGTATGTAAGGAAGCCATATTAGCAAAATGTCATGTTATTGTTTAATTTGAAATGTATTTATAGCCAAATAAAATATTAAATAAAGAACACAATCAAATACACACACACACACACACACACACACATATATATACATATATTCGTGTACATGCTCAAGTTTAAGGGGCCGGATTTAAAGGGTCAAAAAATCAACGTATAATCATTGATATTTTTGTGAATTTTTTTTGGAAAAACGGTTGTAACTATCAATTTTAGGTTTGGACCTATATTTTATTTACACTTTGTACAATATGAATTTTTATGAACCAAAATGTGTTAAAATGTCTAAGAGGCAACAATAATGGTGGCAAACGTATCTAAATTAATGAGGTTTTGTCAAATTGCTGATAGCCACAACTATACATATATATGATAGTCGTCTGAAAACAAAAATCAAATTGATTTGTAATTAATGATGTTGAACGTATACGGTAAAATTATAAAAAAAATCACAATTTGTTAAAATTATTCTTTTATAAAAAAAAAGTTCTTTTTTTGATCATTATTTTTCCCATTAAATTGTCAAAAACCTATTATTGTTTCAAAAAATTAATTATTTCTTTTAGGTTTACGTATAGAGAAAATAGTTGTAATTAATGTGTAAAAAGCGTAGATCAGTGCGTTGAGCCGTTTTCTCTCTACAATATCAACAAATTGGAAGAAACATGTTTCAAGAAAAATGCGTTTAAAGTTTTGAGTTAGAATATTTCTGTTTTTTTAGCACTTACAATAAATTTTTTTATTCGGCATCTGGACCATAAAACGGTTTTCTTCATGAAATTTTATGAAATGTTTCTTTGTTCAAAGAAGTAACAGCCGCGACATACGGCGCCGCGACGGATCGAAACTCAAACACGTCTAATTTTTACCTTTGTACCATTTCAGTAAACCGTGAATAACTCCGTTATTCTACGTATTTCTATGAATTATTTTGGCAATATATTTTTAAGTCGACTTTCCAAAAATGCAATAAAAAAAAATCAATTTTTCTGCTCTTTTAAATTCGACCTTCTTAAGAAAAATGAGGAACGTGTAATTAAATGATAACATTATTTTACAAACGTTTCAATATATTTGAAAGTAAAAATGTGTTATAAAAAATGCTGGTTATTGTGTATTGGCATATTTACAACACACACACACACACACACACATGATTATGTAATGGCGAGCTAACAAATGATTATATAAGTAATCATTAAAATTTGTCATCTAATAGTGAAAATATTGAAGGGAACAATGAACACAATGATATCTACACTATCCATATACCACCTTCTCTATTATTCAAAATATCAGAAAGAATAATCAATTTGAGTGTTAATAACTTCAATAATTGACGAGCAACGGCTAAAAACTTCTGAAGCTTATTCAGGATCATAATCTCGATAACATAAGGTAACTAGGACTGGTTTTCCTATATACTAAATAATTACCCTCTATAATAATATGGCAAATAAAAACATTGGTCACCTCTTTAGAAAATTAATTAGAAAATTAAGCAACCTTTTTCTAACTACGTGACATCATGATGTCAAATAATCTTTCTGTGCATTATATTGACAAAGATCGTCAAAAAGAATACGAAATGTCTTTGTAGACCTACATACACGATGGCCTCGTCTACTCTTGCTAACCGGGACACGCGTTGAAGTCACCACAAGCTACAGATGTTGCCTGATGTTGCCTACTCAAGGATATTAAGATTACGTTGCGCGGCGACACGGGCGTTAGGATGCGTTAAGATGACTCATATCTGTTCATTCAATAAAATTTCACCGCTATTCGAATTTTAAGCTATACTTCAATAGGACTGGATCTCTTCGTTACCGAAGATGATCCTTATTCTTAAAATAGTGACGCAAAACAGAAACGTAACAATTATTATTAAACTCTTAAAGCGTGTCAATAGTATTTATGTAAAAATGTGTTTTCCAATGTAAAACGTCTGTTACTCATAAAAAAATTTTGGTATTGATTTTGTCAAAAGACGAATATATACGCATGAATTATATAATAAGCATACATAATTTGTGTTCAAGAAAAAAAAAAAGATTTGAAACAAATGTTCAGTCCCAAAATTGATTCTACGGAATATTTTCTTATGAGATAATTAAATTTTCATTTGCGTACAAACTTTATGATGCAAAAAACTTTATCTTATACATCCTCTTAATTGAAGCTGAACATTAATAATAAAAAAACACGTTAAATATACGTATTTCTAAGCGGGATTCCCACGAGATGATAGCTTCGTGCTATGCATCTAGTCGATGCATTATCGCGTAATTTTGATCTAACGGTAAAGATCATCGTGGCCCGGCGCGGCGGAGACGTAGTGGAGGCGGAAGGGAAATCTACGCTGCCCGGTTTCTTGCAGCCATGATTGGTAGTGGCCGTCACTGCCGTCAGTACTTGCTTAACCGTTGGGCCGTTAGCAAGTGCGGATACTTTCCAACTAGTCCAGCTCTGCGGTTCACTGATTTGGCATTTCCTACCGCGTTTACCTCCCGCGCGTACTACGGAGAGACGCATAACGCTGACGACCGTCTACGGTGATCTTCCGACTAACGATCGTTTGATTTGGCGATTTTTCTTGGTGCAGTGCGGAGGAAATTTATCCGCTTCCGTTTCTGGCCAGGTGAGTCACCAAGACAAATTATTTTGTGCGATGACGCGACCTCCTTTACCTGTCCTCGCGGTAGAAATCTTCCCTTTTTTTCTTCGGAGTGATCTTGGTGATAACACAGAATCACAGCCGTACAATTCGCTCAATTGGTCCCGAGATAGGACCATCCATCGTTTTCTTTTCTTTTTTCTTTCTTCAGTGATTGTCCTGAATCTCTTGAGTCGGTGAAAGTTCCAAAGTCGTAGCGACGAGTCGCTTGCTATACTTTCGTTGCGGCCAGTAATTTACGAACCTAACTATACGCTGGCGGTAGCTGAATTTAATCGACAGAATCGACAGATCGTTGAGTTGAAATTCCCGGTTTCCCAATTTACGGAGTAAACCAATGGAAAGTAGAATAGCCTAATATGAATGTACTTTCGTACTGAGAATTTCCCTTTATTATCATATATGGAATGTCCCACTTCCCGCGCATTGTTTTAACGACAGATTCTTTGATTAATTTGAAAGAGAGAGAGAGAGAGAGAGAGAGAGAGAGAGAGAGATATCGGTTTTTTCTTAACAAAACTCTCGAGGGAAATAAAAATTTATAGCAAGTAGCTTTATACTTTTAGTTTTATATCTTCGAAACTAAATGTCAAATAAAAATTAACGTTCTTTGGACCTGTTGAAGAATATGATTTTTGTTATTTGTCTTCAACATTAATAAAAAGTCTTTTAATAAGCTTTTTACTATTTTTTTTTACTTAGCCTTTTTTTATGGTAATATATACTATATTTATTTTACTTACAATTAATATTATAAAATATTACAAAAAATAAAACATTAAAAATAATAAAATTGTTAATACATATTTCTAAATTAATTTAACAACAAAATAAGCGAAGTAGGTCATATTCAGTCAAAGCAGAATTTAATGCCTAATAATATTTTTGTATCATCTTTACATTTTTCAGTGCAAGCAAATTGTGCGCCGATTATAAAAAATAATTTATTTTAATGATGTACATGCATAATATATTCCACATTTTCGACGCGATAAATATGATTAAGAATATTTCGCAGAATTACAATTAAAAATACCTATGACTATATACGTATATCTTGTTTCTTCATAAAAGCGCAACGGTGCAAAGGTGTCATATGCAATTAAGTCCTACTAATATTACGAGACGACTCTCAACATTACTGAATGCAGTTAATATTTGTCGGTATTTAATATTGCTGCTTTTTTGCGAAATAAAAATGAAGACGTAATTAGCTATATTTTTTGGGTTTTCAATTATATTTAATCGACATAAACTTCACATCGTCTCGAAGGTCGAAGTAATATTGATTAGACGATAATAAAAATATGATATGCAAAGCTTAAATAGAAACGTAATTAAAGATATAAAATTAAAACTATATTGATCCATTGAATTCTTTTTCTTTTCTTTTTTTTTTGCGTAAATTAAAATTATTAACTCGCAAATTAACAATTTATTTATGAAATTCGTAAACTTATTAAATTACTTAAATGACTATTACTTTTACTTATTAAAGGAGGGTAGAAATTTTTAAGGATTTCGCTACTGCTCAGGGGATCGTTTTATTTCTATGTTTTCTTATGTATTTTTCTT